TCTGTTATTATAGCAAGAAGAAATGACTTATTAAAAGGGATTGCGACGAATTGCAGAACATATGTAATTTGATTGCAAATCATGGGAAGCAATCATATGCTTCAAACGAGACTAATATAGCCGAGAACTATTTGAGTGATGGAGATGTTTTCACAATTTCTAACATAGAATCCAAACCTGACAAGAAGTGGATTTTGGATTAGCTTGTGCGTCCCATATGTGTTTCAATCGAGGTTTGTTTGAAATATATGAAAATGGTGATGCAAGGTGTCATTGTCATTGGTAATAACGAATTTGTTGGATAGCTGGTATTGGTAGAGTTAGATTGAAGTTGGTGGATGGAACATGTAAAACACTTGATCACATTCGACATATTCTAAACTTGAAGTTAGAGTTTCGTTCGTTACGTCGAAATTTGTGTTAAGGTTGAAATTGTTAGATTTTTTAACCCAAATTAGGTTATTTTTTGGAAAAAATATTGTCTCCTTTACCCCGGGCGCTTTTATTGGAAAACATCATTTCCTTTATTCCACGTGTTTTTATTTGGAAAATACTGTTTCATTTATTCCATATGATTTTAGACTTTGTTTTCATCTTTGTGATATTTTTAGAATTTGACATGCACCCTTATAAATACTGGACTCTTTTCACAAGTTTTATATTATTGAAATAGGCACAATTATTGTATTTATTTTTTTATATTAGTCAATTAAATAAAATACAATGTTCCTCTACCAATTAATTCTTTGTCTTTTATCTTATTGTTTGTTTGCGATCATATTTTTCATATTGTGTCATATATTATCTTGATCCGTATTACTTCCCAACAATTTTAACTAAGCTTCCGTTTGGAAAGAATTTATGAAAATTTTATTTTTAAATATATTAAAATGAGTGTTGGATAATATTTATGGATTCATTGAAATATATGATTGAAAATGGAATTTGATTATTTATTTATAATTTATAAAATTTGCCACCATTCTTGATAAATTGATTATTGATGTAACACAATAAGTTGACGAGGGCAATTATACAACTCCCTCGAACCTTACGTTATTTGTTTATCTATATTTATATAATGCTCAATTCATATTATATTGTAAATTTTTGCCATTGACATCTAAAAATATATATGAATTAAAAAATAAGAGAAATAATAAATCAAGAGTTTGTTAGAGTGTGTTAAAAAATTAAGTTAATTAAAGATTCTCTTTCATTTCTCGACGTTGAAGTAAGACCAATCTCATGAGCTTATTATCCTAGGTCGGAACAAGTTGATAGGATTCTTTTTTTTGCCCCCATGTCGCCACAATGACCAAAATACTCTTTAAAAATAAAGAATATCTTAAAAATACTCTTAAAAACTATAAATTAAAAATAAGTAAGATAGAAAAAAATAAAGAAATAGTAGAATTTTTATATATTTTGTTTATGAACTTACAATCACGATGCACCTAACACAACCATCTCATTCACTAAAAAAATATGTTGATGATTTTATAATAGAAACTTAGCTTTTCGATAAAAAAATATTAAGATGTTCGAGATTATAGGATTCATAATTATATTTTATTAGTTGTTTTATTGCTAATTTATTTATTTATATTGTTCTTTGCTGTTTATCATTTCTAGAATATAGTTGTTATACCTCATATTTAGCAAATAAAAGTAAACCAATATACTAAAGGAAAAATAATCTTTTTACTCGAAGTAAAAAAAATAAATTATGGATCTATATCAATGCCTATTGACACATTAATTTCTTTCATGAAGTTGGATGCAACTACCAGACATTGAGGAATGTGGCAAAGCTGACTTATTGTTCGAGGACTTAATTTCTTGAAAAACAAAAGGAACCGTATTTGCCCTCAATTGACGAGGACCATATATTATAAAAATTGAAAAAACTTAAACGAGATTAAATGAATATAAATTTATGAATGGCAATGGATTAGGGTATAACTTATAAAATATATTTAAGATAAATTTTACCTCTTGTTCATTGCTAATAGAGGATAAACCGCCCTCTATATTCAAAGACGACACTTCTTCAAAAAATAAATACAGTACTATATTGAGTTTGATGGTTGAACTAATGAAAGACTATACTTTTCTTGATGGGAATAAGAATGAACATTTGAATGCTTGGACACTTCAAAAATATTTGGAGATAAGATTTTGAGTGTTCGAATCAATCGAGTGTCCAATTTGTATTTTTCTATATGTCCTTTCTAAAATGCACCCATTTTGGCGTTGATCAATCTGTACCATTGAATAATGCAATTTTAGAATCGACACAAAGTTGGTGGTTCACACTGTGTTTCCTTTTACTATGATTTGACGCCTGGCCTGATCTGTTTAAACTCATTATATTGAAAAGATCATATCCATTTACACAATCTAATCAACGAATTTGTACAATATTTCTCTTTCATCAACAACTAATCGCTGTACACACGGTCCCACTCGCCTCCTTGCGAGTAGCCATTGACTATTGTAGGATGCAGTTAAGAGCGTTGTGTTAAATTTTAAAGCTTAAAAGATTGAAACACATAATTTTATTTTTTTTCTTTAAAAAGAAGCTGTAATGTGCTTTTTCCAACATGGGATTCCTTCCCAGTTATGAAAACCACATTCAAATTTTTGTACTAACATATCTAAAACTTTTCAACATAAACATTTGGAGACTTCACCCAAATCACCCAAAAAGACTTTAGGCTATAATGATCCAACATGAATATCTACTCAACAAGATAGATGTATCAATTAATTATCACATTAATGACCCTAAATTTGTTTCCAAAGTTAGCTAAAAGTACTCCTCATTTAATTTACATTATATTAAAACAGTAAATTTTAATTATTATTATTTTGGGTAAATCATGATGTTCACGCGTAGGGTTAGAATTCGGTCATTTTTCGAGAATTTTCTATTTTCCTTTCTTCTATTTGGACCCTTAAAGAAATTAAGAGTATTGGAAATTATTAATTTTTTTTCTTTTAAATAATTAGTGATATCTAGCTCGCTTACAGTATGTGAATTGGACTAAAAATAACACAAGAAAAAGTGCTTTTAGTTGTGAAATGAAAAGCATTCGTATCTTACATATTTAATTTATTCGAAACTATTAGATCTGAATGTATCAATCTCTGGTGAATGTGAGTTGAAGCAATAACAAGAATATTCGTAATCGACATTTTGACATTGATGATTTACTAAAAAATCGATTGAATAATAGTTCGAATAATTTACATTTAGACTTCATAATTACATTATATTAAGTCAACTACTATAGGCCACACAAGTCATAATTCCATATAATGTACATATATCAAACCCCATTCTTGATAGCTAATTTTAACATCTATTTAATATAATATTAGAAGTCAATATTACTTCCCTTTCAAGTTCTTCCTTCTTTCAAAATTTAATTTCAAACAAAGATATGTCTGGCATAATTCCTTTCATTTTTTGACTTTGTGTTTCACCGACTCGCTCTTGCCAACCATGGTCATAAAAGTATTTAAGATGATGATTATTTTTTTCGTGTGTAACTACTTTTTAAATAATTTTAAATATATGTAAAAAGTAAATTATTTTTTAAAATAATTTTATTGACCTAAAATGATGATGATTACTGTCATATTATCCAATGATGACGGAATGCATTTTTTCATATGTAACAGTAGATCAATGATCATCATCATTCTAAATGAATAACACTCTATTTTTCATCTTTTAAACATTTATTTAAGTGACAATGGTACAAAACTCGCCTTTTTTCATTCATACAATTTTCTTCATACTAGTAACAATCTTTTCAAACTTATTTCTTACTTCTTTTTGACGTATATTGAGGAATTAGGATTTGAGGAGCATGTAATGTATAAGATTTTCCTTGAGTGTTAATGAATTGGAAAAATGAGGTCATACTAAAATGAATAAGATAAGAAACGGAAATTCATGTAGATGTTAATCTAATTAAAATAAATTGAGAGAAATATGACTTGGTACATATTTTATATGAGTAATGCTATTTGCAGTCGTTCACTGCGGTAGTCGTCCTACGTGGCATACACATGGTAGGTGGTTATTTAATGCATTAATGTGGTAGTTTTTTTATTCATTAAAACATCAAATAACCACCTGCCATATGTATACCACGTAAGGCAACTGTTGCAGTGAGCGACTGCAAATAACATTATTCATTTTATATAGATCTCAAAAGACTTTTGTCATAACAGTGCTGTGATATAGATAGTACTTTAGAAGAGGGACAACCCGAGCGCTACGCCAGAATCAATATTATTGTTGTAGTTATTAAAGATCTTGTTTGTTTAAATCTTTCAAATTTACGATGGAACTGATTTGTTTATAATGTATTCTTATAATTATTCAAACATTGCTAGAGAATTGAGAAAATCTCAAAAGTTGATTTTATTATTACTAAAAAACAACAGAAATCTTAGTAGGTGATTAAACCAACAAAAAAGCCTCTGGACAAGAGACAAAACAAAATTACCAAAACAATAAAAGACATCATTAATAAAATAAACACAAAAATCAAATTAAAACAAAAGGGCTGTCCCTCCCTCTCTCCAATATCCGTATCCCATTAAGCATGAAGAAGGATCTAAAAAAGAATCCAACTTTTTGGAAACTGCAAAATACAACAAAAACCAAATTATAAGGGCACGTTTGAGCCACATTATTAACGTAATAGAACGTTCATGAATAGTGTATTGATGGGAAATATGTGGTTAAAAAATAAGAATAATTTTTTGATCTACGTGTAATATTTTATTCAAGAATGTGTAGTTGAAATGATGTCAAATTACTGTTTAAGAATGTATATTTTTTGAAATAATATGTCTCAAACTGCACTAATTATATTTCTCCCCTTAAAGCCATTAATCCACGGCAGACCCAAAATTGCCACCACAGTTATATAGATATGTTTTTGCACACAGATGCATGTGAAATTACCTTTTTAAAATCATTTTCGTTTCTCTTTCTTTACCGTTTCGATATCGAAAGACTTCTTTTTTAACTATTTTTCCCCTTCTCTTTCTTCATTCTTTCTCTGTACAATCAAGAATCTCTCAGTTCCGAGCTTCGCTGGTCTATCTCTCACTACTCTTCCCTGGTTTCATTCTATTCATAAATTCTTATGATAGACATATATACACGTGTGTATGTATTCGTATATATCGCAGTTACTGATCCATTTTTTCTGATGTTCCTCTGTTGCAGATATCTTTGAATGTATATATTATAAATGGGTTTTATAATTATGGGATCATAATGCGCGTAAAGGAAATGCACCCTTTATGCTGCATTTCTTTGGAGAGTCCGGCGATCGGGGACGGGACGCCGGAGCCGATCCTGTTGAGAACTGGGTCGGTACTGAATTTATCCGGCGGTGGATCTGACTTCAATGCTGGGGGATCTGATGTCAGTAGTAGCAGTAGTGTAGCCGGGATCCTCTACAAGTGGACTAATTACGGCAAGGGATGGCGATCCCGGTGGTTCACCCTCCGTAGCAATGGCGTTCTATCCTACTCCAAGACCCGCAGGCCGGAAACCGTCTACGGCTGCGAAGACGTCGTTTTCATCGGTCACGTCAAGGCCCCCTCTAATTCCGGCACCGTCAACATCCGCGGAAAACACAGCAAAACGGTTGGAACTGTCCATTTAAAGGTTGGCAAATTGATTTTAACTGTAGTTTTAAATGCACTGTACACATTAATAAGAGTTCAAGAAGTTAGACAGAAACAATGTCGCATTGAAATAATTTTTTCTTCAAAGGAGAATAATATCCCAGTGTTGAATTCAAGAATCAAGATGTCTTTGTTCTGATAACGGTTGCACCACTTCGATTAAAATTTTAATTATTTAAATTGTGTTCAAACAATGGAATTTTCCAATCCGGGGGGAAAGGCTAAGTGGGGGCTTGTCTTTTTAGGGGTTACTGCAGAAAAGACTTTTTACCATCAGAAAAGCATTGTTCTTTTACTATTTTGTTTCCATTTTAATGTCAGCAGAAATTACTGCCTCTCCTCTTCTCTTTGCAGTCTGCACCAGAAATAGCTTTGATATCTGGGTTTCATTTACTCATAATTATTAACTATTTTTTCACTATAACAGTGATAATTAACTGAGCGTTAATCTTGAGTGGGTCACATCAGCAGGTGGATAATAGGGGTCAGTACTAGGGCAAAATGCTGTAGGGTTAAGCCAGGTTTATTTATGGTTTTTTCACGTCAGGTCACATCACTATTCGGTGACTTTTTCTCCAATTCAAAATCTGAACCATTTAGGGAATGAGAATAATCTGGTGGGACAGCAATTGAAAATAATGGTAGATCTGAAGCCTCTAATAATCTGTAAGTTTTGGGACCTTTTCACCGCATTGGAGACTTGGCTGACTTGCAATTCACTGGGTTTAACACTTCAGGGGAAAAAAGGGAAAAATCAAAGAAGTAAAAGCACAAGGGAGAGGATATGCCATTACAAGCCTAAAATTCTTTTCTTGGCTTCTCCGGAAAGTCAGTAAAAATTCTACCTATTCTTTAAGCCTTTGTAATGTTTTTATTCTTCATTTGAGGGTAAATTAATGCCACCAGGGATTTTTCCGGTGACCGGAGAATCGATGAGCCTAGTTTATTACTATGTTTTTAGGTTCTAGGTATGTTTAATTTCTGTGGTATCAAAACTTCTTTGTGGTGTTCCAATGCTATGTTCTTGCAAATTTATCTCATGATATAGCTTTCCATAGTAAATATTGGGTGTTTCAGAGAGGTATTTAATTCGAGTAATGATTTTTCGAGATCATGATAGTGCTGGTTATTCTGTTCCATAGTCTTTTATTACTTGAATGATAAATCTACTTTTTTGGGATTATAATATAATTTTTTTGGACAACTCTGTATATAACATGAACTGCAAGTGTGTGTATTTGATTTTGGGATGTAAGAGGGATATGCACACATTTTCTAGGACAAGTTATTAAAGAACAAAATTTTAATTTATCTTCTTCGTTAGTACACCTTACCAAACATACTGTAAATGTTTACTCGGATTTGTTTGCAGGTCTCATCATTTCGTGAGAGTAAATCAGACGATAGGCGGTTTTACATAATTACAGCTACAAAGACACTTTACTTGAGGACTAATACGAAGAAAGAAAGAGCGGCATGGACACAAGCTTTGATTTCAACAAGAAGCCCAATGAATGAGAACATCCCCCTTTTAACTAGGAATTTATCGATATCAACTGAAAGGCTAAAGCATCGCTTGCTCGACGACGGCATTGGAGAGGGTCTTGTGAAGGACTGTGAACAGATCATGCTCTCTGAATTTTCGGAAATTCAAGATCAATTTAAAGTCATTTGTGAAGAGCGATGCGAGTTGCTGGACACATTAAGACAGTTAGAGGTAATCTTTGCTTTTCTAATGATGTAATTCATGTGTTGGATCACAAGTAACCAATTATTGTTGATCGTCGATATTTATTATTAATAGTTCTAACATTGAACTAATGATTCCATCTATATTCTTCAACTTCTTTGACCAATAAAAATAAAATAACTTCATGAATTTCCGTCTATATTAATAAAGATTTATTTTGAAATTCATGAAATGCTATCTATATTAATAATAACCTTAGAATTAAATGTTTAAATTAGTAAAGGAAGTTAATAACTTTTAAATAGGTAGGTACACATTGTAGTTCGTGCCTTTTCATCTTCATTAATTATTGAATGGTCTATTATATTCCCATATTTGAGCAAAAAACTTTTAATTGTTAACTTTTGTTACGTATAATAATAGAGATTGTGGTTTAATTGGTTTATATCACGAGTTCTTATTTTTTGTTTGGTCTCCTTCTCTAAAATGTAGCCCGTTATTATATCAAGTGAAAGTTTTACTTTAAAATCTGCTGTAACTATTACACAAGAAAACTCTGTTGTAAAAATGATCTAGGCCTATGTTCGGAGTTTTGTTGGGGACGGTATGGCTACATTGTGGTTACCGTGGCTGTTTAAGCGATCAAAATTCGCACAATCTCAGAACTTATGCCTAACAAGATTAAGGGATACTTAAAATTATAGTCAAAGGGACTCTCTAGTTCCAGCAGAGACGTTGACATTCATATAAAGGCTAAGAATCCTTTAGTGTATCCCTTGTCAAAAAGTTAGAGATTTTTTTTGTATTTTCACATTCAACTTGTTTTTTGTTTTTTGTTTTTTGTTTTATAATGCTTTCCTGTCGGAGATACTGCTGTCATTGATGACTTAATAATCCTTTTCTTCTTTAAATCTTTCGGGGGAGAATATAACCAAGTTAACAGAAAGATCCTTGGAAGAATTTCTTTTCGATAATTTATTTCTGCATTCTAAATGATTAATTTATGCCCCACTATTTGAAGGCAGAAATATGTAAACTTGAAATCAACATGAACTGATGATCTGAGTGGTTTTTCAAGATTCTTAATTATAAAGATGTAGCATTTGCTTTTTGTAATATTGAGTATTTCTTTAAAAAGTAGCAACATAACATCAATAAAGTATTTCATTTCACTTTTCCAGGCAGCCAATGTTGAACCTGAAGCCTCTGGAATTAATGATGGGGAACACCAATTAATGAAACAGGAGCATTCGAATCTAGCACGTGGAAAGTTTAGTGGTATGTAACAGATCCTAACATTCCTTTTCTAGGAGGACCTTATGCATGAAGAATATCAATTTTGTCATTATGGTAAGACTCTATTTCAGATTTGTGACCACATTTGCCATAGGGTCCTCTTAATAATCATGAGAAAAGCCTTATGTAAAAAATTTCTTATTTGGTCATTTTAGTTTCTTCTACACGCTTTTTGGTTCTTTATTTTTATTTTCATCTCATGTTATTTGAATTCTCACTAGTTTAACCTTTTAGGTCCTGGCACTTAACTTTTTTGGACCATGTTCTCCCTCACGTCTCTTAGATTATAATGAAATTCTGATTTGTAGATAATGCTGTCTACATGAATTAGATATTAGTTGATTGATACATATGTAGAACTTTACGTATCAATGGGCATGTTATATGCATGTATGCTTATATTTGTATGAATGTAAATGTGTATATATGTATTATAATTTTACTTGTCAATACTTCGACTGTTGAAATTGAGTCTGAAATGTGGCCTATACGCAGCCAGTGGGAAAAGTGCCTCATATTGGTGCTGCAGGGTTATCTGCGCAGATAGGATTGCATCCTTATTTTGTTCTCATTCTCGTATCCCTCCACATACTCATACAACTTATGGTATCAATTCTGCATTGTTATTGCAATATGTATTTCAGTATTTCTTGATGTCATATTCTGAATACACAGAATGGAGCACTACAGAATCATCGGATGATGTTGACAAACAAGAGCTTGAGGAGGCATCAGATGAAGAGGAACCCCACTTCTTCGACACAAACGAATATTTTTTTGAACCAACTATTAGTTGTGAATCAGTCGACATAGTTCACATGGATTCTTGGGCAAGATCCAAAAATCAAATTGACAATGTGAACAAGGGGAACACAAAGAACAATGTATTTGGTTCTAGATACCCACAAATTGAAAGAAGAAAAAGGTTACCAGATCCAGTTGAGAAAGAGAAAGGCACCAGTTTATGGTCTATAATCAAAGACAACATTGGGAAAGATCTTACACAAGTTTGTCTCCCTGTATACTTCAATGAGCCAATATCATCCCTGCAGAAGTGTTTCGAAGATTTAGAGTATTCTTATCTTTTGGATAGGGCATACGAGCACGGTAAAGCGGTACGATCTGTTTAGCTTACTCTAGCTTGAATTTATATGACTCTCTCTCTATTTTGTTACAGTCACAAATGGTTGTCTTTCTGAGTGTAATATTGTCTGAAAATATTTTTTGCTAGAGTTTAGAATGCATATAATGCACTAAAGTCTTACTTATTGATCAAATAGAATACTAAAATTATTTATTTTTATCCAGGGGAATGATCTTTTGAGAATATTATATGTTGCTGCTTTTGCTGTCTCTGGATATGCTTCGTCGGAAGGCCGTCACTGTAAACCCTTCAATCCTTTACTGGGAGAAACTTATGAAGCAGATTATCCTGAAAAAGGAATTCGCTTCTTCTCTGAGAAGGTAGGTACCCCAGTAACATGTAATATTATTGAATACAAACCAATATGTGGTGCAATCATCCATTTGAACTATCCGTATATTTCCTCTAAATTACTGCATAGCAGTTCATATCTCCTCATTAGCGCACCTCCTAAGATGTTATGGACCAATTGAAAGGCCTATTAAATCTGACTATCCACACAAAATAACTGCACAACGTAAAATCAACATTTTCTTGTTTTTAACTTTTTTTTCATTAAACAGAATTCTTATTAACTAGCTGTTGCCTAAACAGGTCAGTCACCACCCAACGGTCATTGCATGTCACTGTGAAGGTAAAGGCTGGAAATTCCAGGCTGACAGTAATCTTAAATCAAAATTCTGGGGGAGATCAATTCAACTCGATCCCGTTGGAATCCTTACTTTAGAATTTGATGACGGAGTGATCTTTCAGTGGAGCAAGGTGTGCAGTGCAAATGGTCATACTTGTGCAGTTCTTTATATAGCTTTATATTGCTCATCTTAAACTTCATGCAAAAGTACATTTAAACATAGTAGCATTCTCCTCAGGTCACAACAAGCATCTACAATCTAATCCTTGGTAATATATATTGTGAACACCATGGAACAATGTATATAAGAAGTAATCGGCACTACTCGTGCAAGCTCAAATTCAAGGAGCAGTCTATTTTTGAACGCAATCCTCACCAGGTAAAAGAAAAATACATCTATCTGGATATATGTATCCCACTTTCCACAGTCGAGCACTGTTTCTTTTCCCATTTAATGACTGGACATTTTAAAAAACATACTAACTGAACAGGTTAATGGATTTGTTGAAGATATCACTGGGAAAAAGGTTGCTACATTATTTGGGAAGTGGGATGACAGCATGTATTATATAAATGGAGAGGGCACTGGCAAGGTGAAAGATAAGTATGATGAATCTTTATTGTGGAAAAGGAATAAGCCACCTTCAAATATCACTCGCTACAATTTAACTTCTTTTGCGATAACGCTAAATGAGTTGACGCCGGGACTGAAGGTGTGGAGGACACGTTGAAAAATATTTTGTGCATTTTTCACTTTTGTCTTTGTCTCATTATTAACTCTCTGATTATATGTATTTGATGTGACAAAAGGAAAAGCTTCCACCGACAGACTCTAGACTGAGACCAGACCAACGTTATCTAGAGAATGGGGAATATGACAAGGCAAATTCAGAGAAGTTGCGACTGGAAATGCGACAGAGAATGGCAAGTAAAATTTCTGCATGCTACATGAATTTACTCACGACGGTGATGATGAGTAAAACTTGTAATGTGGAACTCTGCAGATATATACATGCAAATTCTTTTGGAAGTACTGGTTTAATAACTTCTTTTGATATGTGCAACAAATTCTTGAGAGATATGACTGGTATTATGGAAATTTTTGGTGGGGGGAGGGGAACTTCTATTATGGATGGGCGAGATGACATACGGTTTGTGGGTAATACTTTTTTTGATTAAATAACAAAACTGATTTTTATATATGAAATTCAAATAGATATCGGTTATCACAAATCAGCGTCGAATCTTTATATCATATCTGGGTATATTTGACACTGGCAAGGTATTGAGATGAAAAAATTACAAGCTTTAGATTGTGAACCAAAAGATGGAGTTTTTGTTATTATTATGAGATTGAATTTTGCAAGATTGCCCCTCTCTTTTGTACTCTTCCATTTTCTTTATAGTGAGATTTCCATCCTTGCACACTGATAGAAGGCAATACAAAAACCCATTTTGTGAGTGAATACTATATGGCGAGGATCAACCGGACAGAATTAATCAGCCAAAATATTAGTAGAATGGAAAATTCGCTTAATGATCTTGCTTGTTTGTTATACTTGGCCATTATACTTCCATGTTTCTCTATGGGTTATATATGTCTCTTGAAAATCAACAACTTTATTATATCATAAATTTTACATACTATTAACATCCTTTCTATCAATCGAGCCATCTGAATACTTGCTTCAGAATATTTGTTACATTAATGAGCATCTGAATATGATTCTTGCTGCATCTTGTATCCTTTGACAGTCAAGGAAATTACAAGAAAATGGTTGGCAGCCCAGATGGTTCCAAAGAGATTGCAAAGACGGATCTTTCCGGTATGTGGGTGGATACTGGGAAGCCCGAGAGCAGGGAAAGTGGGATAGATGCCCAAATATATTTGGCGAGATTAGTGAAGGCCCCAACTCCTTTGAAAATTCCTGATTTCTAAAACGGTACTTAACTCTCTCCCTGTTTTTCTTGTGTGATTGCTCCGATAAATTATTCTTCTATTGCCTTGTACGTTTTTGGATATCCATTGTTAGTGAAGAAGTGTGATAGAACTAGTTCCCAAAGTTTTGAATTTCATACAGCCAATTACTTCCAAAAGAGAAATTAAAATGTGTTGAATTAATCTCAAATACAACAAACGAAGCCTTATACCTAAATATTTTATTGAAAGATTCTAAACAAATAGACCAGCAGTAACCACCACCTTGTTATGTTAGAACTGATCTATCCCTTTTGAGATAAGAGTGAACAAAATCTTCTTTTAAGTCTTCGAAAAACATGTCTTAAGCACACAAGTCGTCCATCCTTTAATATATCCTTAACCGCTGCCAGGTCTACCTTCTGACTATCGTGCGATTGAACATAGGAACTTACTTCTAATACTGTTTTATTGCAGCTTTTATGGACTATTGATTGTATGGTTTATGTAAATAGTCCTGATAATGGTGTACGTTGCTTCTACATACAGGAAGCAGAAAAGCCTTGGAGGACATGCTATAAACAGACAGAAAAGACGCCTTTTGTTTCTCCCAGTATATTGGTTATCATTCTATGCAGTCGAAAAATTGTAGATCCCCGACATTTGTATCAATTCCTAGGTAGGCCATGATATAGCATACGAAAATTACGTTGCTACGTGATATTATCTGTTGTATGAAGAGATCAATGTAATAATAACTCATAATTCATTACAATTTTCGGCTATGCAGGCTCAGCTAAACATTTTCTTTCTAGGTAGTTATTTTTATTATTGTTTTTAATTAGTTTGAGAATGTATGTATAACAATAGTAGTTGTAAATGCCTAAATTATGGTTGAAAATTTTCTGAGATTTTCTTTGATTCTCTTTGAGGTGTCAAAATGGATGCATCGATCTGCCTTCATCTTGATCTAATTCAGTCTTGCTACGAGCCTGAACTGGCTCATCTACAACTAACTTGGACTGACTGGATTGACCTTCAAATATGAAAACCGTTTATTGGAAATTGCACTGGATACCCCAATTATTGTTGGTCGTGAATGGTGCTTGCTGTTGTCTCCGAAGCGCCTCGAGCAGGAGCATTGTCGGTGGCGCTTTCCAGCAATGGCTAGAGAGGAGAGAAGGTGGGATAGAGAGAGGAGAAGAAATAGAGTGGACGAAAATTATTAGGATTTTGGTGTGGGTGGTCGGGTATGGGTTAGGTGGGATGAATATGTATATTTAATTTTGTAATATAATTATTAGTGGTTAAAATTTTTATTATCATCTGATTTTTGGAAAAAAAAAATTGTAAATCTTAATTTTAGAATAGGAAGTTTAAAACTCTGATAGGCTGTAATTTCCATTTATCTGTTACAAGTAAATTGGACTTACAAGGTGTGCCTCATTGATCGCCGTGTTGGACAATCTAGCCCTGCACAGCCCGTCGCCTGGCCTATTTTGACACTACTAATGTTCCTAATCATACTGAATCGGTAATCTTCAGCATAGTTTGAAGAGAACTCTAGTTTACGAAAAACAATTGAAATCTGAATATTGAGGTATTGGACTCCAGAGAATGTAACAACATAGCTGAAAGTGACTGTGTTTCATTGAAATCTGCTGTTATGCTAACAAGGATGTTATTTTCCCAAAAAGGATTTGAGCTCGTCGATGTGGAGAAGAATGATGACTTGCCAATCTTGAAGGAACGTCAAATTGACTCTGATGTAGTTGGTTAAACTTGGATTTTATATGATTATTCAGGTGAGTTTCATGCATCTCATGTTTCGTGAGTGAATACATTTGAGGAATATTCATAAGAATATTTTGAGAATCAGTCTGATTCTATCTTTTGAGATGAAGCAGGGTTAATATAACCAAGAAACAGTTGCATGCTCTTTTTTAATAATTTCGAGTAAGGAGAGAAGCAGATGATTCTGGCAGAAATGGAAGTCTACTGTTTAGCTCTATTTCTTGCCTTCTTTACTTCTAATCTTGATCTTTAGATTCTTTTCCGAATATTTGTACATGATAAGCTATAAGTCATTTAATACATCAACACTCTCTCTTATTCAAAACCGTGCAAACTTCATCTCACACGTCTCCTATTGGAAGAAAGAAGAACTCATCTCAAAAATGCAGTTAGGCATGTCATCTAGGTTCTGTCCCTTCGAACTCATTCTCCTCTGCAAGCCTGTCCTTCTTGTATACATACCCTCTTGCAGTAATAAAAAAAGCTAGAAAATTCAACACACTTAAAATTGCCAAAAGCCAGTAGAAATTATAGAGTTTTCCTCGGTTAAGATTATTAGCCAGCCATGGATTCCTGTCCCCTGTCACCTTATGCACAATAGAGACCAACATCGAGCTAAAGAAAAACCCTAGTGCAATAGTGCTCAAAAACAAGCCTGTGCTCATTGTTTTCATTCCTGTAGGACACTCTCTTAGGAAGAAATCAAGTTGTCCCATATAGATAAATGCCTCACCTGCACCAGCCAAAAAGAATTGTGGGACTAACCAAAACACACTCAACGGAACCGTGACGTGTCCACGTGTCAGATTATGCGATCTGGTGACATGTAAACGCTTGATTTCAGACAGGGCTGCAGCCATCATTGTAACTACTGATAGGACCAAGCCGATGCCTATACGTTGTAGGGGTGTGAGTCCGTGTTGATTCTTGAAAACCCTTTTGCGAATTGGGATTATGATTCTGTCGTAAACAGAGATTGTTAAGAGAATGCTCCCGATGAAGAAAGCAGGAAGAGATGCAGCCGGAATCTGGAAGGATTTTCCGAGGTGACGATCCATTAAGGTTGCCTGTAATACTGAAAATGTTATCATTTGAGCACGAACGGTCCAAAACATAATTGTTGTGGCCCATATAGGTAGCATTCTAATCACCAGCTTCACTTCTTCTACATCAGTTAAAGTTGAAAGGTGCCATTTTTTCTCCTCAGTAATGCCGGTGGACAGTTCGGGATTCTTGATTGCAGCCTTGTCCAAAAAACTGGACCAAAAAAAATAAAAATAAATAAATAAATAAATAAATAATCAGAAACTTAAAAATTGTCAATTTATGAACTAAGTTTACCTAAATATTGTTTTCGTAAGAACTTTAGACTTGTCTACTAATTTAAACTTTTAGATAATACTTTGAACATGACAATACATACATATGTCATGAGTTGAAGTATAGAAAAAATAAATTGTTTAGCGTATTAAGTTAAATAACTTAACTTAATGTATCTATACATAGATTAGAATAAAATTAATTATTATCCTTGCATGAACAGTAAGTCTATGTATGAAATCCAAAATGGGTATCAAAATTATTTAGAATTTAGATAAAAATAAGATTTTTGACAGATTTTAATAAAAGATAATGAAATGTGTGTGAAAAAGTTGTAGATCTCATAAAATGTGTGATAAAATTAATTATTGATTTTGACTTAGATTTTAATTATTTTTTTAGCATAATTAAACGTAAATGAATAATCCGGAAACAATTTCCATCCTAGCCCTAGTTAAATATTGTCTAAGATTCGAATTTCAAGAATTTTATTATGCTTCCCAATAAATATTTTATTTCTGGTATATGACAATCAACGAAATTGGAAAAAAAAATAATAATAAAATAAATGCATAAGAGAGGCATAAATAAACGGCTTATGCTTTTCAAAAATTAATTTTCAAACACAAGTAAACATAGTAGACAGTGACTACAATTTAAAAGGAAAAATTATCGAGTAATGCTATTATTGGTAATCGTCTAACATGACATACATGCAATAATTTGTCATTTGACGCATTCCACATAAAACAACTGTCGATAATCCTTACTATGAATAACATTATTCAAAATTCTATGTTTCTTTATATAATAAAATAACTTACCGGAACTCCTTGCTATGGGGCAACCTTTGCTGCTGCTTTTTGAACCCCTCAACGTCATTAATTTCATCACCATTAAATAGAAGGGATGAATCTGAAGGAACCTCCAAATTCCTCTTTCTCCACGCAGCTACAAAAACTGATGCAATTTGTGTCAATGGACTGCCAACAAGTTTCTTAAAACGATAACGTTTGCTGCTAGACAGGAACACGCCAAGACCAATAACAATAGCACAGGCACAAATTCCATAGCCCCATTGCCTTCCCAAGTTGTCTTGAATGTATACAAGGATTGTAATTGCTGCAAGTGATCCAATATTAATCAAGAAATAAAACCAATTGAAGAATTTTAACGTTTCGTTCTTTTCCTTGGTGTCGGATTCGTCAAACTGGTCAGAACCAAAGCCGGAAACGCTCGATTTCAAGCCTCCGGTGCCGATGGCCGTGAGATACAGTGCTAGGTAGAGAACCATTAGTTGCACGCCACTTGCACGGACACATGATACACTGCCAGGAACACAGTTTGCTGGTCGTAGATTAGGGATTATAGTCGAGATTGTCAAGATTGTCACACCCTAATTAATAATAAAGGGAAAAATGATAATTAACTCTCTAGTATGGAATCAAGTAAGAAAATATTGCTTGGAAAAAAATAATTTAAACTTACCATCACTTGAACAGTGGTAAAGATGCCAATAGTTAGATACCTGTAAAGAGTTAAATAGAAGAAAACTAAGTAGCATTGAAATAGACAATGGTCTTGAATTTTAGCACATAAGAATGAAATAGACAATGGTCCAACAATTTCATGTAGCTGATATTGGAAACGAGGTTTTAGTTTGTTGTTGTTACATATGACCATGGACGACGACTAAGAAAATTGCGTTTACCTTCCTACAAATGTGTCAGCAACGAAGCCACCAAGCAAACACAGCATGAACGAAGTGCCTAAGAAGTTAGTGACTATGTTGGCTGAGGTAGCATTACTCAAATGCATAGTCCCCATCAAGTATGTCACCAGGTTCACGGCTATACCTAGAGTGGTCATCCTCTCACAAATTTCAACCCCTGAAAAAATTAAATAATGAATAAATAAAATTAAGCTTTTGTACACTTGAATTTTACAGATGTACAGGTGGCAAAACTGCATGACCTAGTTGAACTGTGTTTTTTGTCCAATATTGGATTAAATATTGATAGCTAGCAATTTATCAAAAGAATTGTCAATCAGCACTGTACATATAGCAGGATTGTAAAAAAAGGATACCGAACATATTTGGTAAGAACGACAAGATAGTATTGGACAAAAAGAACTGCATATCAAATATGCAATAGGTTAAGAACCTAGAATCATTGCAGCACTAGTCCAGCCTCCAGAGGAAGCTCGTATGGCGGGGTGGCCGTTGTAGTCCCATGCATCTGGTAAAGATTCAGCCTGTTGTTGAGATTCAGGGATTGCCATTAAAGTCTTCAACCGATTTCTCTCTCTCTCAAGACAATTCGAGTGATCTCAGTTTCATTTTATAGCCATGTTTGGAACTTTCGTGACTTAATTTTTTGGTAATTTTGAAAAACCTTTTTTTATTCGAAAAGAGTGTGGACAGGTGTCAACCTCAGCAATTTTGTTTCTTAATTTGGTATTTCTATTTTTGTTGGTACAATGCATCAGTTATTATTAAATGTGAAAGCAATCCATCTTCTGTCCGTATATTAGATGAACATTGTATAAATATAAAATACAAATATGTGGTTCTATTTGGTCATTTTTATAATGAAAATTACACATTGGACTCCAACCTTTTATATTTTGTTGCATCATTCCTAAGTTATAACTTTTGTAGCATCGTTAGTCACTACAGGACGAAAGAGTGAAAATCAGAATTGGGAAATTCACAAATTTAGCAGCCTTCGACCAATTTTCTTCAAATCTCAATAAGGTTGCTTGAAATCAATTGGGAAGAGGTCAACCACATTGATGATGGAAGAAGATTATAATATGAAATATAAGATTTCGAAGTTCTCATGGAAGAGAACACAAATCAAGTTTGATCTTTCAAAACGAACGAACGAGTCTTACTCAAAGTTATACCAAAACCAGCCCATATATGCCATTTTTTCCAACATCACCTTGTACCACCACTTGGTTCCAACATGAAACATAAAGAAACTCTCTTAATCAAAAGTTCAACATCTCGTGAAGGGAAATTATCCCTTCATGAGTATTATCTTAAATTAATGGTTTGTGTTATTACCTTGGAATTTGAAAAGGACAAAGGATATGAGACTATTACGGCCTTTTAAGTAGCTAGAAAATGAAGTCCTAATTACAATGATTTTGTGTTTCTATGTTTGTAAAAGCTCTGTGTCCATCTTATAATTGTTAAGACTTGGGGTCCATCTTAATAAGGTCAACCTTGTTAAGAGGAGTGTCCCAATCCTTTATATATTGGTCATTGTTTCGGTATTTTTACCGATGTGGGATTATATTCCCTTAACATGCCCCCGCAAGATGGTGCCTCTTTTGAGCAGACCAATCTTGAAATCCGTGTGCTCATTTTTAGAGACTTAATCGGATCGAATCGCTCGTTGGAGCTTAATGGGCTCTGATACCATGTTAAGACTTGGGGTCCATCTTAATAAGGTCAACCTTGTTAAGAGGAGTGTCCCAATCCTTTATATATTGGTCATTGTTTCGGTATTTTTACCGATGTGGGATTATATTCCCTTAACAATAATCAACTTGTTTAGCAAAAATATAAGAATAATAATCAGTACAGTAAAGTATGGAGTATAGGTGACACAAGTAGATAGAGTTTAGGCAAAGTTTTTTAGAATTGCACACCTATTCTTTGTACTAATCATAGGCATTTATTGGTGAATTTTTAAGTTAAATTAGGTAAAAGATGCATCGAACTTAATTAATTTACAGAAACCACACATCCATTGATGGGAAATTGTTATGATAGTGTTTCCTTTTCAAATCGAATTGTCTTGAAATTATTTTATTAGATCTCTTCTGATTACGAAATAAGTTTTGTGCGGATACTTGGGGATTGCTAAGATTGTGTCCTTATCAAACATATTTGTTGACTAACACTCCAACTATCTATACTGCTACAACATAGAATCTAAGTATTCAAGGCCTCAACGCCAAACCTACTCGGTTTCACCTCCACTTGAACTGGTGCAAGTTTTGACAAGTGAAGTTTGAGGACGATTTTTTTTGTTAAAATTATAGCTGATGTGGCGCTATCAGAGGCAAGGAGCTGATGACTCCTGCTATCTTGTCTCGATAAGGCGAAGTATGTGGAAAGCGAGACATCCACGTTACGGGGTGACACTGGCTCACGTGGTCTGTACTTTGATGGCTCATAGATGAACTTCACGCTAATTAAAAAGCTTGACAACTTTCTCAATCAAGAAAAATAGTTTAAGGTAATGTTGGGCTGAACCATTCTGTGTGTACACAATGGTGTACAAACGACTTTACATCCTCATCATCTTACATGGAGGGAGGTCCACACGTAATGAAATATTCGTGGACCCCCCTTCATGTGAGGGGAGTGTAAAGCTGTGTGTACACCTTTTCTATATTGGGCTTGTGGGTTTAGCACATGGATTTGTCTACTCGTACAGGCCCCTTCACAAAAAGGGTCCACAATTTTTCTATTCGTCGTGAGGCCCCCTTCTTATGAGGGGGTCAGTACATCACGTGTACAAATATAAAAACCATTAGCACAAAAGGGTCCAGCAATTGGAATATACATACAAACGCGCATCAACGAAATGGGGAAAAGAGAGGGTGAACGCTGATGGTAATATTTGGAGGAAAAGAAGTTTACTTCTTATCTTTTTCTTCAATCCTTTTTACCGTTTGTTTTCTACAACATTGGTCTTGAAAAAGGATTTTAGGTGACATTTTTTCTTCTCCTTTCATAATTATTTACGTGGGTTCCATATAGTATTATTAGATGATGAATATTGTGGTATACCATGATTACATCTTGATGTAGCGAGGTGGATTACCTCTTGATTTTATGCATTAATCTTGAGACGAAAACATTGTATCCGTGTATTCTGTGATAGTGGACTTGTCGGTTTGCCTAGTCGATTTTTCCTTTGTCTTAAAGGGTTTTCCGATGTCAAATAGTTCTTGGCGTTATCTTGTTGCTTTATTATTCAGGTATTTTAATTTCTTCTGCATTGGCTTGGTTGAGTTGCTTGAATTGATAAATTGGCTGGTTGAGTTGATCTGGTGTTCCCATTTTAATTGCACTGGGAAAGGGGAAATTTATATAGTTAACCATTTCATTGCCGTGGTATTAGAACCCAGGTTTGGTTGTCTGGACTAAAATGGAGGAACCGGTTGGTAGTCCTATGATTAGACTTTCTAATCCAATTAGACTTGGAAGCCTAGAATGGAGGATATCCTTTAGTTGAAGATTTAACAACTCTAAAAGTTGTACATCTTTACATCCCCTCACAACGAGTGGGCTCACAAATATTTAATTCATGTGGGTCCCATTAACATGTGAGGAGACTGTATATCATAGTATAGAAATGACTTTTTTCAATATTTAAATGATCTTATTGAGAGTGATGGAGCTAAACCGAATGACTTGTCGGACAAGCAATGATATAAATAGAAAGGCTATCAAAACTATAAGATAGCAAGTGGATAATAGTGTGTTTTATCATGTGGCACAAGGGACGTATGCTCATAAATTATGGTTGAAATTAGAATTTACGTTTTGAAAGAAGATTGTGTTGAAATTTTATGAAACTTTAAATATTTATAACATGAAACCTAATTACTTTATTGTCAAGATCCTCCATGTCAAATCACCAAAAAAATTAATAATGCGGAACGTACTTTAATTTTTTGGGAATGTTTCTTTATTAATGGATCATGATTCCAGATCTTGAATCTTCAAAATCAACTTGGAATTCCTTCTTGATTGGTTTCTTGCTTTCAATCTTGAATTTTGCCTCTTTAAATTCTTTGATTTTTGTTTTTGGTTTTGCATCTTGATCCATAATTTTGATTCTTGATTGTAGATTATCCATTCTTGATTGTGGTTTTGGGATCTTCCTCTTCAATATGCATCTTTCTAAATTCTTATGTTGATGGGATAACACAAAAAATGAGAAGTTGCATATAAATTGGGATCATAACCCTATATATAATTTTCATATGTATTTCACCCATCATGAAATACAATTATAAAGAAATCCGATCTCTAAACATATAATCCGTTCCAAACTCTATTTAGATGATCTCAGCCCAATTACTTAATTTTTTGTTAGTTAACTTTAATTTTGGGCATAACTTTAAAATAGCCTTTATACACAATTAATTATATATGTAGGCCCACTTGACAAATTAAATAATTTTTCAACAATTTCCCACTTGGGCAACATATGTTACATTATAAATGTGTATAACCTTATAAGCTCAATACTTTTGCTATCATAATCAAAATGCGTCTCCGAACAATCTTGTCCATTAATTATGCTAATATAGGATTAAAGAGGTCTTCATAACAATTATCATAACTAAACTCTCAATGATAAAGTATATCAACATAATCAAATGACATAGATCAAGTGTGGATGTGTGTCATGAAAATTACATGCAATGTGATCTAAACATGCATATTTCTAACTGGTCCTACTTGATGAGAACAAACCAAAACTTTAATCAGGGAAGAACTTAACTGGATATTTTATTTCAGAAATAAATCGAATATCCGTGGATAGAATTATGTGTCAAAAAAGACAATAACTAAATACAAACCCCACTAAACTAGCATTTCATAAAAAAAAATGCAACATCTATGTGAGCAATATGTTCATGAAAGACCTTGAGTGATAACCCTTCCGTAAGAGAATTCACAATTATAAAGTTTGTCCTAATTATTCCCTAGAAGCATGAACACTCTGAATTATTTCCTTAACAACTAGAAACTTAATGTCTATAAATTTTGCCATCAACAAGCTCCTATTGGAATACAAGACTACTACTGTAATGGAATAACTAAAATGGTCTTTCAAATCCATCCAAGATATTTAGCTTAGTGACAAAATTTTGTAGTCATATTCCATGATCAGAATCAGAATATCCAATGATCTCCAATTGGTTATATTTTCTTGAATGTGATCATGTAACCCTTAGTTCTCTATAAATACCGAATAACCTAATTGGCTGCTTTCTAAATATCCATCACAGAGTTACTTAAATATCTGCCCAGAATTCCAACAATGAATGCTATATTCGGAGAGTACAAACCTAAGTATACATTAAACTCCCAACTGCTGAAGTAAATAAAATTTTCTGTACTTTCTTTTTAGCAATAGAGGTATCTCTTGGTTTACATAACTGCGTCCCAAATCTTTTAAGAACTTTATCAAATTAGCTCTTTTATATAATCCAAATACTCCGAGGATGATCCCAGCATATTT